CGTCCATGCAAATACTCTGCTTGTGACGTCATCGTAGAGTGTGACTTTATATTGCCGATCCTGTGAAACGGCTTTGAAAAATCGTGATGATTGTTCTACACCATTTGCTGAAAAAAATTGTGAATTTACAGCCTTGACTTACTCCTGTAAAGATGAGTCGAATAGATTCAGTGTTTTAGCGATATCAAAGCGATTCAAGGACTCGGAGTGGCAGCTCGATTTGGTCAGATTTGTTTAATATGCTATGATATATCCATTTATACACACTTGGTTATTTCAGTGAACAGGTCAGAATGTTTTTTTGGTTGGGCGCTATTCGGCTTGGGAGGGGCACTCTGCGCTTCCGCTAGTTTCATTTGCTAGTTCACGTTAACTAACAGGTCGCATTTTGGTCGAAACCTGTGAACTCATGTGAAGCTACGGAATAGTGTAACTGAGCCGTTTTGGTTATGTGACTCTACAAGCTTCGCTGAGTTCCATATGCTGCCCCCACCAAGCCGAACTGTGCCTGATGTTTGTTATTACATATGTTTATATGTGCCTCTATGCCTACACACTATTTACTTTCTTGAATATTTCCACTAAAACTTGTTTTTGGATTGCAAGAAATAAACTCCCTCAAAAATCCTCAACATATTCAGTACCCTTTTTTCTGAAGTCCAACAATAGCTCACATTTGTTGGCATGATCGCAACGAGGCGCGGAAAAATTTCCCGACGCAACAGCTTTTTCAGCATTTTTTTGCGCTTGCTGGTTTTCTAATCGCCTTCAGAGTCCATATTATGCATAATGAGTCTCTCACATAGAAAGAGACATAAATAACTCAAGACAATGGTACCCCCTATACGGGTGCGGCCTTAGACGCCCCCACAAACATAACAGGTGATTAACTAGGTGTAGCTCTGTAGTTCTGCGTGGAATGTGCATATTGATTTTTTTATTTCAGATTTGTATCTGTTTACATGCCGACAAGATACAATATGATATTCACTGATCGTTTTACGACTGTACTGATTTCGGGTATTGTACTGCTGTCTTTTTGCTTCTCCTTCGTTTTAGTTTTCTGTAAGTTTTTGAAAGTATAAGAGACGCGTTTTGTCCTGGGTTTCTATTGCTTGTGATTGATGAGTTTTATTAGAAAGAACAAAAAAATTAACAAACTGGGACTATTTTAGGCTTGGTGTATAGATCGTCGCCGGGGGGGGGGAGGGCAGACAAGACAATCGTAGTTTGTCGCGTCGTCGCGCGCGGCGTATCATGACGATGCGCGGCATCTTCTCGATGTATATTTTTTGTCGATTGAAGAAGCGGAACTCATACGAGTAGGGGCAAGACAAGACTCCATAACGGGAAATACCGGATTTTTTCCGTTCCTTCATCACTCACATTCAAATGGCCCCAGGCAGGACAACGTCAGCGGAGCGTGGCGTCGCTCATCACGCTCAACAGCCAGCAGGGTACAGCACCGTGATGTGTGAAATGGTGGTTCCAGTACGACCTCCCCTCTCAAGGAGGGGGCTTGGTACGACTCCCCACCTAAATGACGACACTCTTCCCCGGGACCTATCTACCAATTCCCCACATTTTCCAGTTTTTCATCCTAAGATTTTCCGTCGAGCGCGGGGGGCACTGTACATATGAAACAGGAAAAATCACGCGAAAAGCCAACAACCGTCAAAAATTTTCCCCCAACGCGGCAAGTTTCTATCGAAACCACATACGACCCTCCCCCTCTCCCAACAACGACCAGATACGTGTTTCACACCACGATGCTGTACCCTGCCAGCCAGGCATATTACTATTGTCTTCTCACATAACCCTCAAGTAGAAGGTCGTAGGAACGACTGGTATGTTCACCTAAACGTGCCGGGTCATTGTATGGAGACCTGGTAACACTTGAAAAGCTACATGTCTGCGCCAAAGATGTGAGAGTTTTGCCTGAGCATAGGGGGAAGTAGTTCGAAGGAGAGGATGTGGGCAAGGTCAAGTGAGAGTGGCTCTGAAGATTCCGTTGTTTAACAGGCGTTCACAGTCGACAGCGGTCTTTTCCTTCAGCCTCGAGGCGCTTCGTGGACGGACCAAGGACTCGACAGATTAAATTACTGCTCTGTAGAATAAAGTGATGGCACAAACGCCATACAGCTGATAGATATCCCTGAAACGGCCCTGGTGGCATGACGGGATAGCGCCCGGTAAGAAGGAAGTGAGCGAAGACTTCGAGTCCCACTCAAGGTCAAGGCTTGCCCATCCTCACACCTAATTTTGGTACCTTGGGTAGTAATTGTGTCAAGTTTTCTGTGAAAATTTGAATGTCACTTCCTTCTTGACCGATGGTCTGTGCTTCATTTTATCTCAGAATATCTTTTCAGTGTCCTGCCAAATGGGATTCTCCATACAGCGATGGATGTTAGACTATGCTACACCACCGTGTGATTTGAATAACGTTTATTATGCGGAATTCCTTCGCGGTCTGATAGTGATATCACTTTTCGCCATCATCAACTGTTGCACTTTTATTAGAATGAACTTTTATAATAAGAAAAAGGCAAGTGATTGTTTTATTTATTTATTTATTCATATGTTTGTTGTTGTTTGGTGCGCGCATGCCTGCAAAGTGAATGTGCGAGCTGCTACTGTAATCGTTGAGTTTCACCAACCCTAACTAAGGGAAGCCATGAAAGGTCTAGTGAGGAAGCCAAGGTTGATTGATCCCTTGTTGGGATGCGCCACGCATAATGCATGCCCTAAGAGACTGTGGAATACTCTATGGCCTTTGCAGTGATTTATGGGGGAGAGACGGAGCAGCATGTGCGAGTGAGTGCTTTTATTCTCCCAGACGAGTCTGGTACCGATTCCCTGACCTCGGAGAGATGGAAAATTTGGTTGACATAGGTGGAAACCGATCTATTTCTTCCCCGGATTACACGTGCGTGAGCGACACTATGTGCCACTACAGCGCTTTTGTGAAACATTGCACAGCACAGCACAGCTAATTTGTATTGTAAGGTCAAACAGCCTTGATGGACCAGTTGACTCAACCAAGGAAAAGTCCGCCGCATAATTACGCATGGAAGCTTGCATGCCAGATCTGGTAAGAGCAACTTGAGTCATATAGGGTTATTTTACAATATAGAGAGTGAAAGCTGCAAAATGCATTTCACAAGGCAGCTCGATGGAGCAGAAGCTTGGTGGTGAGCTGTGAAGCATAAGCGAGGAATCGCATACGTCGAAATCGAGTCGTGGTGGTTCAGTGGGTAAGGTTCGACGTTCGCTTATGCTTCACAGCTCACCACCAAGCCTCCATCCTACTGCACCTTACAAACTTTACCTGCTCATAAGTTGCCTGTGAAGTGCACGTTGCAGATTGCTATCTGTATTTGTAAATAATCTTATAGACTTTATCGATCTACCCAGGTTACCATTCAAAGTTCCATGGTAAGTCGGCGGACTTCCGTATTCAGCCACTCTATATACAAATGCGGGTGCAAAAAATACTGATTTCGACCACTTGAAAGTTTCTTTCCTAGATGGTGTTTGCATCTCCATGAAAATTCAAAGGTAGAAGGTTGCAGATCAGGGAGAGGATGAGAACTTCTTAGAACACAGACCCCGCAGTTGTATATTTGGGACAGTCGCGTTCAATTACTAACCTTTGGTTGCTAGGTAACTCTTCATGAGAGAGAAAACAAAAAAAAATGGAGAATACCGTAATTAAGGACCTGGCAGCCTCTTTGGACGAGTTCTTGGGGTCCGCTCGTTTAATCCCAGCAAAGCGATATCCTGCCGCTCCTGGCTCAATAATCCTTTTTTCGCGACATCCAATGCTAATGTCATCTAACAGTAAAAAAAACGAAAAACACTGTGTAAAGAGTAACTTGTGACGGAAAATAGCCTTCAAATGTTGGCGGGCGATACGACAAAGGAGGCATCAGAACTGCCACTGAGGGCCACACCGCCTTCGTTAAATTTTGTGAAGCCGCGAAAAAGAAATAATCTCTGACATTGAGGACTAGACTACTTACTTATACAAGGAAATACGCCTATTTCTCTGAGTTTGGCTGAGAAAAAACACAGAAACTCATTCGACACCCATTTTAATCGATTAATTCCGAAATAATTTCAGACGACTAATGCCTTTGAGACCATGCAAGCAGGTGAAAACGACGTGCGGTTGAAAGGACATTCGTTCAACAGGTATTTTTAGAATTTTCAAATAATTTACAAACAATACAAGACATTAAGTGTCCCACAGGAGTTATCGCGCGCGTCGCGTCACGTTGTAAAATACGGTTGTTAAACTTGATGGATTTTAGATCATACATTATTGTCTTTCAAGTTTTGAATGGCACTGCCGTGTTGCTAGCATGGGGAGCTGAAAGTGATAACGTATCTTCTGAAGTGATTCCAAATAAATGCGAACCTGCGATTATTGAATTATCATCTCCAGATGTGTGCACAATCCGTTCCCTATATAATGTCTGAGAAAACCAAAAAGAATTTTATTTCATTTGCTGTTGATTGCAGTCTTTTTGTCATCTTCCCTAAAAATCTTCAGCTTCATGCCCGAATAGGATGCTTAAAAGTATAAAAATAGGCTGAGTTCTCATCGCTTCACCCTGTGTGAACGCGATGAGAACATCACCTATTTATTTAATACTTTCAAGCATAATCTTGCTTTTCCTCTGGATCGCCATGACCATGCGAAACGACTTCAAGGCACGAACAAAGCAGATTCAAGGGATGGGAATAGCTCTTATCTTTTTGACCATCTTCTTAAAGGCAAGCCCGCGACCACAGATTGTGGGTAACGGAACCCACATAGGAACGAAAAAGGGCTAGGTATCTGATTAGCGGAGAAAAGCAGCAGAAAAACAGCCGAAAATGCCCTAAATAGGATTCCGTATCGACCCCAACCTGTACATGCATGCAATGAAGAAAACGCATGTTTGTACGAATTTCCACTCGTCGTTATCATAAAGATATCAGCTCTTTTATCTTATCACCTCACTCTCACCATTCGGAATGGAGAGAGATAGCATAGTGGCTACTAGCTAGTAGCTAGCAGCCGGTGGGGTCGGCATGGGCCTAAGGGGCGCCCATGGGCCTAATTGGTTAGCTTAAAGCGGAATTCTTGCCGATTTTCACTTTCTAAAGGTAGCGCAGCCTCCGCAATCTCCTTCCGGATCGTCTGACACATTTGAAAGGTCATAGCCTTATTTTATCGCGGAAAGTGCCTTTAAGCTTTTGTAAGCTGCTGCTGATGTTCTGAGTACATGGAGTCTTCGACATGGACTTTGCGGCTGAACTATTAATTTGCACGTATTCACCCTTTACTGCCCCAATCATCCGAAATCCGGCCAGTTCTTAACCTATTTTTCTCTGCGAACGGAACTGGCTAAAACTTTGTCTCCTGGCGTAGTTTTACCTCTTGGGTATGAATGTCACATCTGCTTGGCACGAAACCGCCTGGCGCTCGCGCCACACTTGCCGGCGCCAAAATACCCCAAATCACCGGCGCCTGTGGCGCGGGCGCCAGGAGTTTTTGGGCCAAGCAAATGTTATATTCGTCTTCAGGAGGTAAAATTACTCTAGAAGACACATTTGAAGTCAAATCTGATCACGAGAAAAAAATTTTGGTCAAAAACTGACTCGATTCCGGGTGAGTGGGGCAGTAAAGGGTAAATAGTGCCCAATTTTTCCCCGTCTCAGGCGCACTATACACTTCTGTAGTGAGCGGCGGGCTGAAACTACTGCTTCTGACAGTTGATTGAAAGTGTCTACCACCCCTCACCCATCCACGGCAAAATCTTGGGGATCACTGCCATTTCACCCGTCACGATGATTTACCCTGATCACAGTACATCTACAAGGGGATTGGAATCTGATCGAGTTTTTGGGCGCTGTTTGTGGCAGAGTGGGCACTCTGCAATTTTTAGTTAACGCCATAGTCGCTTGTAATTCTGAAAGGGGAGGGTCAGTGGGGATGAGGCTCCAGGGTGTGTAAGTCTTACCGCGATCTCCAACTTATAGTTCGCCCACCCTGAACCGCCTGTTGCACACGTGCTGTATGGCAAAATTTGTTTTTATTCTGCGAAATTTTCCCATTGGTTAGAACCAAATCATCAAAGTGATTTGTTATCAAGGCGTTCTGCCCTGGTAACAACACAATTTGATGTGTTCAGCTGTTGGGAAATATTCTCGCAAAATAAAAACAAATTACGTCAGACAGGAACCCACTCAGAAGCTGCGGCTTTCGGCTACGAAGCAGGGAAGACCTCTAGGTGCACTCTCTACCTTAAAAAGTGAAAGGTACCATCAGTGTATCAAAGTGGTTTATCTTATCGTGCGTATCGATTCTCGAAAGGAATGCCCACAGATGACACCACCCTCTCTAGCCGAACAGCACCAAAATCCCTGCTCTGATACGACCCCCTCTACCATCTCCCTACTCTCCCAATTTTCCAACTTTTGCAAAGATTTTTGAAATAAGTTTCTCCAATTTTCCCCAGAAATTTGCCGTCGTGCGGGG